CCGCCCACCAGCCTCCAGGGGGTGGGGGTGGGGGTCCTGGGAGAGTGGGCTGCGCTGGAGGGGCCGTGTGCAAAACACAGAGTGGAGGAGGGCCCCAGGCCTCGCCCCGGAGGGAGGGGCGGCATGCTAGAGGCGTGTCCTTACCATGGTATCCTAACTGCATTGTTTTCCCTTACTATAAATACAACATCTGGCCGGCTCGGTGGCTCAGCCTGTCATCCCGCGCCTTTGGGAGGCTGAAGTGAGTGAATGGCCTGAGCCCGCGGGTTCGAGACCCGCCTGGGCAGCGAGACCTCATCTCTACAATAAATCAAAAAATCAGCCGGGCGTGGTAGCGCAGGCCTGTAATTCCGGCTACTCGGAAGGCTGAGGCGGAAGGATCGCCGGAGCCCAGCAGGGCGAGGCTGCGGTGGCCAGGAGAGGCCACTGCACTCCGGTCTGGGCGACGGAGTGAGACTGCAACTTAAAAAAATAAAATAAAAAAATATAAATAAATAAATAAATAAAAAATAAGTACAACATCTGCTCACTGCTACTAAAATAAGAAAATAAAGATCACAAGAAGATGTGAAGGCACATAAGAGGCTGCACTGCCTGAGCCCAGGGGTTTGAGTCCAGCCTGGGCAACTTGGCGAGACCTCGTCTCTGCAGTCAAATAACAATAATAAAAAAATTAGCCGGGCGCCCGCCCGTAGTTCCAGCTACTCGGGAGACTGAGGCGGGGGGATCGCCTGAGTTCAGCGGGTCGGGGCTGCCGTGGCCGTGATCGTGCCACCGCACTCCAGCCTGGGCGACAGAGCGAGACTCCGACTCAAAAAGAAAAGAAGTCTCAGCCGCCGGGTGCGGAGGCTCACGTCTGTCCGTCCCAGGGCTTTCAGAGGCTGAGGCAGGAGGAGCCCTTGAGGCCAGGAGTTCAAGACCAGCCTGGGCAACATAGTGAGGCCTCGTCTCTACAAAAAGTAGAAGAAATATAAGGTAACAACGGCAAGGATGAGGGAGGGGCGGGGAGAGGGCGGAGGGCAGATGAGACAAGAATAGCAAGTTGTTGGGGACTGTGGACTCCTGCTATTCCACTTACTGTGGGTGTTTGGAGGCTTTCTTAATAGGGAGGGTTTTTTGGTTTTGTTTTAGAAAGCAGGATTGGCTGGGCTCCGTGGCTCAGCCTGTCACCCCAGCACTTTGGGAGGCCAAGGCGAGTGGATTGCTTAAGCCTATGGGTTCGAGACCAGCCTGGGCCACTTGGCGAGGCCTCGTCTCTACAATAAATCAAAATTAGTCAGGCATGGTGGTGCGTGCCTGTAATTCCGGCTACTTGGAAGGCTGAGGCGGAAGGATCGCTGGCGCCCAGCAGGTTGACGCTGGGGTGGTCGTGAGTGTGCCACTGCATTCCAGCCTGGGCAGCAGAGTGAGACTCTGACTCAGAAAAACGCAGGATTTATTGAGAGGACAGAAAAAGTCCCATGGTGGAAGGGGACCCAAGGGGTTGCCCTTTTTTTTCTAAAGCATATATAAAAACAAGAACTTGGCCGGGCTTGGTGGCTCAGCCTGTCATCCCAGCACTTTGGGAGGCCAAGACGAGTGGATTGCTTGAGCCCACGGGTTCAAGACCAGCCCAGGCAGCTGGGTGAGACCTCATCTCTCCAATAAATTAGCCAGGCCTGGTAGCACATGCCTGGCTACTTGGAAGGCTGAGGCAGAAGGATCACCTGAGCCCAGCAGGTTGACCTGGCTGTGAACATGCCATTGCACTCCAGCCTGGGTGACGTGTGAGACTCCAACTCAAAAAAATAAGCCGGGCTCGGTGGCTCAGCCTGTCATCCCACGCCTTTGGGAGGCTGAGGTGAGTGGATTGCCTGAGCCCGCGGGTTCGAGACCCACCTGGGCAACTGGACGAGACCTCATCTCTACAATAAAAATAAAAAAATTACCTGGGCGTGGTAGCGCGCATCTGTAGTTCCAGATACTTGGAAGGCTGAGGCAGAAGGATCGCCGGAGCCCGGCAGGTCGAGGCTGTGGTGGCCGGGAGCGGGCCCTGCACTCCAGTCTGGGCGACAGAGTGGGACTCCAACTCAAAAAAATAAAAAACAAAAATAAATAAATAAGTAGATAAATAAACCAAAAAATAAAAAATAAATGCAAGAACGTGAGGTTCTGCTGAGCACAGGTTCAAATCCCAGACCTCAGCTCTGCTGTGTGGTCCTGGGTGTGTCACCTGACCTCTCTGGGCTTTGGTCTTCTCCCCTGTGCTGTGGGACCGTGATAATAGGAGAAATAAGTTCCTGGTGTGGGCGGAGGGGCTGGGACTGGGCTAGGCACCCCCTGGATTCCCCTCAGCAGGCTGGGTGGCCGGAGCTCCTCTTCAGCTGGTTCCCGGGCGCCCTCCCAACACCCAGGGATCCCTGGGTCACACCCTCTCCCGCCATCCCTTGCACACGGTGTCCCCGCAGGCCCTGAGCGACGCACAGACACTCGGCTCCCCTGCCACCCGCCACCCTCTGTTCCAGCCACATGGCCCCGACCTCTCCGGGGAGCTGGAAGCTCACCCCAGGCTCTGGGTCTGTGGGCTCTTCCTGTCCTCTGCCGGACTGTGGGCAGGCGTCCTTCGGCCCCGAGCAGAGCAGCCGTCGCAGTGCCCGTCAGTGCCCTCTCAGGCTCCGCGCCCCTCACTCCTGGGGAGGCAGGAAGGAACCCCATGCCTTCCGAAGTAGGGTCCCTGCAGATGTCATCAGCTGCGATGAGGAGCACTGGTCCTCCTAAGACCAGAAGCTTGCCCGGGAGGGTGGCCAGGGGACCTGGGGCAGGGACTGAGCCCCGCGCTGGGAGCCCAGGGACAGCCAGCACTGGGGAGGCAGGAAGGGGCCCCATGCCGCCCGAGGGAGCAGGGCCTGCCCAGGCCTCCATTTCCAGCTCTGGACTCCAAGGCTGGGAAAGGATAGCCTCGGGTGTTTTTTTTTTTTTTTTT